CCTGCTAAAAATAGAAAGCAAATTGCCCAGCTTGTATTTGTAAAGAGTTGTAAATCTCAGGCTTGCGGGTACAAATAAATAAATAATCCTGGCATGCGTTCTTATAACTTCATTGTATAGGACTGAAATATTGTACTTATGGTATGTGACTTTCTGCGGTGGTAAATTGTTGATGGTGTAAATCAAAGTAACTTCCCTGGAGCCAAGGCAATATGCTAATTTACTACATCGCCTTGGATCTGGCCCTGCCTAGCCAATGAGATGCAGCAATCAAGCATATGCAGAGTTTATTACGTTGGCTGCTTGTAATGCCACAGATTGGTATGCAGCCGGCCCTGTTGGTACCTAAAGACCTCAGTGGGAAAGGTCTGGCATGGTTTCATGATGTTCTCTGTGTGCTCCTCATCCTGGCAAGGTCCTACGTCTGGCATCTCTCTAAGGCAAAAGGTCAACAGCTGCCACTTCTGCTGTCCTAGCCCGATGGGCTAACGGGCCACTGGGCCTCTACTTGTCAGCCTGTGGAGTAGCAAAGGTAAAACCCTTCCTTTAATAAAGCAGTGCTTTAGATTGAAAGCAGGAAAACTCAGCGAGTTTCCCATCTCCTCTGGTGGCACAGTCAGTGCAGGGCATTGCAGTACACACGATGTTTGTTAATGAATATGGATTTTTAATTGGGTGCTTTGATTCTGTTTGTGGCTGCTGGCATAGCCCTGTGAAACGAGGGCTGAGGCGTGCTGCTGAGGTGGTACTTTGTAAATGGAATTATTTTATTTTGATAATGGAGAGTTTATTCAAAAAGGGGAAAAAAAAAGAAAAGGGAATGTGAAAAAGCGGGTGGCACGCTTAGCCTGATGAAACAACTGGATGGAAGTCATGCTCTGATTGTCTCGGAGAAACTTGGTGTTTTGTAGGAAAAATTAAAACAAAAAGAGAGGGGGGAAAATAAGAAAAAAAGGAGGGGTCAGTCTTGGAGAAGCACATCAGAAACTTGCTGTGACTGCAGTTATAATGCACGCTTGACTCGCTTGGAAATGCACGGATCTGAAGGCACTGAACTCCGCTGTGCATTGAGCCATTCTGCCCAGTGCAGATGAAGCTGCCTTGTGTGTATAATTAGCGTCACGACAAGTAGAAATGGCAAACATTTCAAGGCCGTTGCTGCGTTGTTTCTAGCATTGCCAAATGTGAAATTGGGTGCTCTCTCCAACTTTGGAAAATTTTGTGTGGGAGGGTCAAAAGAAGGGATAAAAAGGATCCCTTTGGCAGTCAAGTGAGGGCACAATGAGGAATTTTATTTCTGGAGTCTTGGGAAGCATTTTGGCAGAGTTAGGTGTTGCAGATTTAATATCCAAATGCCAGCCCAGTGCATGTGGAACATGTCAGATTTTTATTATTTTTTTTTTGGTAGAGAGATTTCTTCCTGAATGTTTGATTATGCTCACCACCTGAAGTATTAAGATATGGAAGCTAATCCCAAAGATTCCCCAGGTGCAAGCAGCATCTTGTATATGGAAGAGCAGAATTGTGACTGCCGAGGCCTGGAGAATCAGCCAGCAGGGGAATAGATAATTAGTTACAAGCTTTCTTTTTTTTGTTCTTCATTTTTTTTCCTTGGGTTTTATTCAGTTCAGGCTCTGTCTTTCCTCTGTAAAGCGCTAAGCTCATAACTAACTCCTTACTCATTTTTATACCTGTCTTTGAGGTAGCCAAGTGTCTTCCTGCCCTCTTTGGCCTGCTCTCTGCTAAGGATATATAGATACGTGTAGTCCAAACACCAGCTTCCTGGGGCTTGGCAGAAGCTCCCTCTTACATCTTCAATTGTTTGATTAGGCAAGGTACTCTGACGAGAAGCAAGTTTTCTAGCCTTGATACATCAGGATATGCTTGGTCCTGTCTATTGGTCCTTTGTCCTCCACTTTACCCACAGATTAAATTTACGTAAGGATCTTTCTTTGTGTTCCTGTGGGAAAAGACCCTAAGGTCGTCTCCCAATTCAGAGCTCTATTGTTTTTGTGTCATCCTTCATATTCCATTATGAAGAGTCCACTGCAAACTGAATTTTTGGATACAAATAGCCCATAATCCTACAGATGTACAAGAATTGTAAACTTGCATACACCCCCCTGTCTCCATACAGCTGTGGATTGCTTGCAGCAGTAGCCAGACCTCCCTAGAATAATTAGGCACCTCATCCAGCAGTTAAAAACAAGTGCTATAATATTTCACATGTGGTGCAGCTGCTGAGCTGTAGCTCACTACCTTAAAAGGCAGACAGAACCCCAGAGGGCTTCTTCGTAGAAAGATGGATTAAGAACCTTTTGTTTCTGTTTTGGTCTTTTAAGAGTTATTACGATGCTTCAGGTTAGCCTTTTTAGGAAGTTTTTTTTTCCTGATAGTTCTTAACTGCTTGTTGTGAAGTTCAGGGACAGAAATGGAGAGTTAGTCACCAGAGAGTATATTCGCGTGAGTACCTTTTACATTCAAAGGTAGGACGGTGCTCTCCTCCTCAGGCTGTGACAGTCATCATGAGCATTGATGCTTGTGTCATGTTTGGAGATGAATAAGTAGGGGTAGGGTCTAATATGAAGAGGACTGTTGTTTTCACTTTGCTCTTATAGACCATTTTCTAACCAACTGGAGTCGCTGCTGCTCCTGGAGGGCTTTTATAGTGCAACACAAAACTGTGTGAATTCATCTTACAGCTTGAACTCATCTCTCATGAGCTGTTCAGACTTCTGAGGGATTTTTCTGAAGTTGTGGTTTTAGATTCTTTTTCTTTCTTAGATATTTTTCCTCATTTCTTCCCCCCCTCCCCCCAGTATTTTTATTTAAGAAAACTTATGCTATTTTTCTGTCTTCCACATGATACTGTTAAGGTGAGTAAATTATTAACTCTTACAGATAGGGTCAGATGTTCAGATAATGCCTATATATGTGTGTAGTGTGCATGAATATGTGTGTGTAAAACCTGTACAAGTCCCCACCCTCTAAACACTGGTGGCAAGCCAGCTTTCCAAAGGCTTGGATTTTATCCAAGATCTGGCGATTGGAGTATTTTTTCCCCCCAATATTCTTACAGTCTTATTTTCCTCCCTTTGGCTGCTAGATTTTATTTTCTTCATGGGAGATAAGCAACTGTCCCTCACTATTCAGGTGCATGAAAAGCTGTAGGAGACATATGGTGACTACCATGTTTAAGTTTGTCCTCTATGCTTTGGCTTACAGTAATTGCAAGCTTAAGCATGTCTAGGTGTACTTAAACATATACTTTACTTGTTGACTCAACATGTTATATTAGTAGGATGTCATTTGTCATCTTTCTAACACATTCGTCAGTGTGGCATCCACCATGCCACCACTAAAAAAATGAAAATTTGTACCCTATTCATTTTACTTTAGTATAGTTTGCTGGGCTGGGAGCTCAGAATGGAAGTCCCAGTGCAAGAGGGGAGGGAGAGGGGTCCCACAGCTGGATTTGCAGATGCAAAGCACCTTGTGCTAAATGTAATTTGACCTGATGCTGACCTTGAAGCTTACGGGCTGCATAGCCATTAAAAAGAAAATATAAGAAAAACAGTCATCTGGGACTCTTATCCATAAGAAATGGAGCAAAAATGACTTTTCAATCAATCTTTTTTCATTACAGCTGCTTAAATGAATGCTCCCTCTCGCTTCACCTTAATTTAGATGATAGGAAATGAAAAACCAGACTACACTGGGCAATGTCTCTTGGTTTTCTGTTAACATTCTTGGTCTGTGTTTTTAATACCCACTCTCTTGCCACCAGCGGGCAGGAAAAAAATCTGAAAACTTTTGTACAAATTTTCATTCTAAGTTTAAAGAATGGGGTAGAAGGGGACAGACTGCTTGCAAACAAGTCTCCCACCAGTTGTCTCAGGAGTACTGCTGCTGCACAATAACTTGCTGGGCTAGTGGGTAATTGAACTTTCTCTCTACATGACCAAGGTGCTCCATATGCTATGAAGGATTTTATTCCTGGACAGATTCCAGGATGGCCTCTCAAAAGTGGTGGCAGTTTTCTAGGTCACTTCATGGGAGGCAGTGCCTTCAAATTCTTTGAATTTGATCTTGCAGGATCCCTGGAGGGGTTTTACAGTAAGAGAGTGAAGTTGCTGCAACATGAGTGGGACTTTTTTTCCTTTTCCTTTTTTTGTTTGTTTTGGGGTTGGGTTTTTTTTGGGGTTTTTTTTTTTTTTTTGCATGTTAGAAAGGCAGTTGTATGTGTGAGAAGAGTAATTTTGAAACTT